AATATTGTTTCAACTTTTAGGTCAGATTTCTGCGAATCAGTAAAGCGGTTTGCATTAAAAACTTTCACAAGATGTTGAGAATTCTATTCCAATTTAAAATATATATAAAAGTTTATCAGAGGTGACCGGCTAAGAAAAATAAACTGTTTTTTTTGATACTGTATATTTAACTTACGCTACGTCACTTACGTTACCCAGCGATTATTATCGTGGATATTTTATATCTATTATTAAGAGTTAGAACTACGAAACAAAAGAATTACAAAAGTACGAATTCATTCGTAAAAAATAATTAACAAAGGAAATTTTAAAAAACTGGTGGCACTCACGCAATGATTTTTTATAACATTTATGAAATTCAACAAATTGAAAACAGGTTTTCCGCAAGACCAAGAGTAACTTTAAAAATGATTTTAATATTACAACTTTGTTATTACCTACTTGAGTCATTTAAATAAGAACTTCTTTGGCTTGTCGAAGATTTACATACACTTCTTTATTCGTATAGCTTATTTTCATTGGGTTGAATTTTTAAAATACTGCAAAGTATTTACATTTAAATTTTTTAAATATTTTTGATATAAAAACTGCTATCACAGTTTAGGAGGGAGAGGGGTTCAGGTATATGTGATCGTTTGTGACAGGATGGAAGGGATTAAGAATCGACAAAATTGGAGTGACGTGTATTATGAATTTTAATTGCATTTACACTTAATTGCATTTACAAACGATTTGTTTTAATAAAACAAAAATAAAAATGGTTCTAATTGATTTTTTTATATTAGAAGAATAGAAAATAAATCTTTTTTTTTAATGTATAAATAAAAATAGTTATATAACTCTTATTTTTGTTTAATAATATATATTTTGTGTGTGTATATATATATATATATATATATATATATATATATATATATATATATATATATATATATATATATATATATATATATATTTATATATTATTTTGTATATTAATATATATTTCAACCAAAACAAGATTACATAAACAAATAAAAAACAATAATATAAATAATTTTAACAGAGGCGGAACTTCAAATTTTAGCCCCCCCCCCTCACAAAATATTTTTTAGGCCCCCACCACAAAGAGGAAACAATAATTTTTATCTAAATATATTTATTGAAAAGACTGTTGCTTAACAGAAATCAAATAGATATATTGAACTATATCTAAAATTGTAAATCTTTCCTCCTTGATTTTAAATTCGCAAAATCTGTAATCACATCTTTGATTTCCATAGTTTTGGCTGTTTTTTGCTTCAATTCCTAATATAGAAAGGTAATGCAAACGTTATTTACCTGTGGAATTACGCAAATAATTTTTTATTATCTTCAATTTTGAAAACAATCTTACTACCGTAGCCACAGATAGCGTCATGAACATCACCAGTGCAACATGACGTCGGCAAAACTCACAGATATTGTAGCATAATTAATCATTATTTGGTCTGCGAATTCTTTCATGCTTGTAATTTCAACAAATTCCTTTCTAAGCATAGGAGATACCATTACAGTTTGTAGTGGAAATTCTCTTGTAAGGTCTTCTTTATACTTTAATTGAAGTGCTTTAGCTGATTTTATTATTTCTGGTTCTTCCATTTCTATTAATTTGGTTGGTTGCATGAAAGCAAATAAATTTGAAACTTCCTGCATCCCTTTAAATCTGTAGTCTATTTGACTTATAACTACATCTAAAACTTTACTAAATACATTAATGCGAAAGATCTGATCTTTATTACCAAAACGATGATCGTTCGATAACTCATCAAAATGTTCTTTAACAACTTGATGATAAATTTACCTCCCTCAAAATCTTTGAACATATTACGCATATAAATATAAATTTAACTATGCTAATTGTTTTCTGAAGCCTAGACACTTTTTTGCGTTCTTCTTTTTTCTGACTTTTTAAGGATAATTCAGTAAGCTCTTTCATTATACCCACAAAGCAAAGTTTAACTGCCAAGAGTGAAGTGTACCTTCCGGCCCAACAAATTGGATTCAATTTTTTAAGTGTAATCTGAGACTCACCAGTAAATTGTGATAACAGGTCCTAACTTTTTACACTATTGCCAAAAAACGCATAAATACTTTCTAGAGTTGCAAAAAATGTCAAAACCTCGTGGCAACTTTTCACAGCGTCATTTATAACTAGATTTAAGTTACGAGCTGCATAATGGAGGTATAAAGCTTAAGGTTCATCTTGTTTAAGAAGAGACTGAACACCATTGTAAGCCTTACAATTTTTGTAAAATCCAAAAAACTTCCCTAATTTCGATTAATGTCGGTTCCTTTTTCTCCTACAGTTCTGCCCCCCCCCCCTCACATTGCGGGGTTTTTCGGTATGGTATTTCCGTCACTTGTTTTTAATTAACATTAAAAAAAAAGAAAATATTTTTTTTCTTATTTCTCCTAATATAAAATGTTTCAGTTTAGAACATTGTCAAATCAATGCGACGAAGAATTACTTAATGACGTAATTCATTTTGTCAACGGAGCGCCAGAACTTTAGTAAATGCACATAGTTTTAACTTACGTTACACAAATTTAATACAAAAATATGCTTTAACTAAGCATCATTATTCAAAAATTTAAATGTAAAGGCACGAATAATCGAGCACCAAAAAAGGCATAAAAACTCAAACATTTATTAAGATATTTATTCAAATGAAAGTTGTTATAATAGGTTTAATAATGCTAGTTTTTCAATTTGGATTCGGCTTCCAACAAATTTTTATTAAAACTCAAAGAAATCATGTACACAAAGTGGGAAAAACCCACTATTAATAAACAAGTGAACCATGTAAAAATGACAATTTCAATCTAGTTTCTTTTAATATTACCGGTTCTTTTATCTTTTTAAAAACATTTGTTACATTTTTTAAATGCATTTTTATTGTATTTTTTATATTAAGGTCTCTATTAGTACAACCTAATTTTAATAATTTGATTTAAGCATTTATATATATTTTAATTGATGATAGCTATGATATAATCGAAACATGTATTTATAAGGTAAATGATTTTAACAAAAATTTAAAAAATTGTCTTATTTATTAGAATATTTACACATTTTGTACTGAAGAGAAACTTTGGAAATATATATATATATATATATATATATATATATATATATATATATATATATATATATATATATATATATATATATATATATATATATATATATATATATATATATATATATATATATATATATATATATATATATATATATATATATATATATATATATATATATATATATATATATATATATATATATATATATATATATATATATATATATATATATATGTATTCATAATTATATCTATAATGGTTTTTTATGTAATCCAAACATATTTTTCTTTTCGCTACAAGCGACATTGCAAATGAAACTTTATCAATTTATGTTTTATATTGCTCACACTGTGTAAGCAAAAATTTGAATTTTTATATTACAATTTTCAAGCTTCTCAACGTTTGAATAACTTTTAAAATTTTTTTTTGAATATTAAAATATTTGTGTTTGCGTGTAAATGGAATTAACTTGATCTATTATATTTACATTTTATATGGTAAGAAATGGTTATTATTTTACAATATATAAGTATTTCTACAAGGATTATAGATAATAATAGAAATGTTCTTGTAAAAAATCTTCAATCGTAGCGTATTAGATGTGTCACGACGATAGGAATGACATGAAACTAAAACAATGTGAAAACTGTTTGAAGTAACTTTTTAATAGTTTATTAAAGCTGGCAAGTTTTTTTATATCTTTGAGTTTACATTTAAATATTTTGCTGATATATTTTATTTAACTATAGAGTGTTTCCCTGAAATAATGTAGGCTCATCAGTCAAATACTCGGTGTCTGAAGGGTTTTTTTATAAACATGCTCAGATCCGTGACGTGGTCAGCAGGATACATTGCTCATACTGTGACATTTAATTACAAAGAAAAAAAAAAAGAAAAAAAAGAAAAGGCATAATCTCCGTATGAGTGAAGATCTATCTTAAGAATACTTCAGTACTTCACCTTAAACATTTGCTTAAGATGAATTTCTATTTGCGAAATTACTTGCATCTCTTTTTATTGGAAACTTGCAGGAAAAATTATATAAATTCTCTTTATCTCCAAAAGTGAACATGCCACTAGTTTAGTCACTAACAAGACAACAAGTATAATTTAAATTAAATTATTTTGTTAAATTGACTTATATGGCCGTCCAATCAATAATTAAGCTCACTTAAATAATTGATTTAACAAACACCCACTATGTTTCCACGCATCATTTGCATCAGACCATAGCAACCTGGCAACATTTATTAAAGTATTTAAGTATTTTTAAAATTATTTTCAATGCATTTACGCATTTTTTACTTGATTTTCAAATTAAATAACATTTTTTATTTTTGATATACAGGTATTTATAATAAAACTTTAAAAAAGTAATTGTACAGATATTTTGCTTCGAAAAAACATTTCGATTGTTTTGTTAAGTATTTGTTTTAACCATTTTCATTTGTTTGTTAGATATTTTTTTTAGATATTTTTGTTAAGTATTTGTGTAATATATTGCATATTGCTTAAAATATCAGAAATTATTTTCCGCTTCCTAAATATTTTAAAATTTTTATTTCCTAACGGTTTTAGAAAATATTAAAAAAAAGCTAACAAGCGTTTATTAACCCGACGTGTTTTTCCGAAAGCGTCACAAACAAAAACTTTTTTCACGTTGTTATTCTAAAATGCTTGACAATAAATGTATGACTAAATATTAAAAAGCGCTTTACTCTAAACCTCGATCCGAAAAAACCGAAATACTACAAAATAAAAGATTTGATCAAATTTTGTTTGTTTAAAAAGTCTAACATCTTTTTCTTTTTTTTTAATATTGAGTGTAAATTACTTTTTTAAGAGTCTAACATATTTTTTTTAATAGTCATTTTTCTGTTTAATATATTTTATCTTTATCTACCATTCCTTTATTAAATTACACCTGAATAGTTTTTGAAAACAATATGCTATAAATTGTTTCGCTGTATTGGCGCACCGGTTGAAAGAGCTATCTTCCCTTACTCCTTAAAACAATTAGATAAATTAGCTAAATAAATAATAGTTAAAATAAATTAAATAAAGATTAAGAAGTTTAACTCCACCCCCTTCCCCGCTAACTAAAAATAAAACCTGTTTGCCTCGCGGTTTTACTCGTCGTTTTAAACAAAAGAGACCAGAACAACAGCGTGGAAGAGTCAAAATTAATCAGCAGCTATTTTACTATATATACTAAGTTAATAATAAACGGTTAGTTCATTTTTTTAAAAACTTAAAAAGTGTTTAGAAAGTGTTTTACTAATATTAATACACCTTTCGTTGAAATCTCACTAAGTTGGCTTGTACACAGAAATGAATACTTTTTAAAGAAGAAGTAAAATTATTTAAGGACAGCATCAAAAATGTCCAAATCGACGTTGGAAATATTTGAAGTGATTACTTTAATATCAATTGACGTTTTTGCTTTGACTGGTAACTGTATGATTATACTTGCTTTCATAATCGGTCCTAAATCTTTAAAGACACTAACAAACTATTTTGTTGTAAATCTAGCTGTGGCTGACTTAATGGTTGCAATTCTGCCGTTACCCTTCTGGATTGTATATACAGTTGGTAGGTGCTAAGTATAGTCAAGCTTGAATTATACCCCGTTAATACTAATGATAAAACACGTTTTATTTTAAACGAGTTTTTTGTTTTTAGTGTATAAAACAGCAATGAAACAACATGGCGAGGTCGCTCTATATTAACACGTATTATTGTTAACACAAGCTTTCTATATTGACGAAACAACCTCAGTATCATTTTTATTGTTGTTTAAGCTTTTTACAATTTAATACGCTTTTAAAATAAAAATTGTTTTAACGTCAGTAGAAACGGGACATTGTTAATTGCAATTTTTAAACCGATTTTTTTAAAAAATAATCTCTACATAAGCTTTTGACATAAATTAAAAAAAAAAAAAAAAAAAAATTGATAAGCAAAACAATTTACTTTTTTTTTTTTTAATTTATCATTAAGAAGAGAATTTATTATTTTAGACTACAATATTATCAATAGCAATGCCATACCTTTCTTTACTGCAGCGGACATTCTCTGCGGAATTACATCGATACTGAACCTGACTGCTATCAGTTTAGAACGAATGTTTGCTGTTAAATTTCCAACTCGTCATTATAACTTGTCGTCAGCTCCGGTTTTTGTTGTTATTGCATTTACATGGTTTATTGGAATTGCTTTTTCAGGTGCACGATTTTTTATACCACTTAATAGTTTAAGATGGTATACCGCTTTCATATTTGTTTTTGCTTTCGCTTTGCCTCTATTTATTATTGTTGTTTCTTATTGTGTTATATTTTATTGTGCAATTTTGATGATGAGAGAAAATAGTAACCAAGATGGAAAAACTAAACAAGAGTTACGAGTTGCCAAGACTATATCTGTAATAATTGGACTGTTTCTTTTTTGTTGGAGTCCGTTTTTTATTTTAAACATGGTTTACGCATTTTGCAAAGATATTCATTGTAATAAGCTACCATTATGGTTAACTAACGTCACTAAATTACTGCACTATAGCAACAGCATGATGAATTTCTTTGTTTACGGATACCGAAGTCCAGATTTTCGTCACTCATTTCGTGCATTTACTAAATGTAATTTAAGTCTTATAGAAGGTAGAGTACGTTCATTGTCCGAAAGCATAAATCGAGGACATAGTTCTTCCTTCAAAAGAGAAAGAAATAATGAAAATAGCGAAGAGATCTTCTTGGTCACGCTTGCTTCCGACGAAATTTAATAACACAGCTGCATAGCTGAAACTATTTTTATTGAAAAAAATCTATTTTTGCAACACATATGGGAAAAATATTTTGTGAACAAGCATAAATTTTTTATCCAAAAACAAAGAATCTTGTTCAATAATAGTTCAGTTCTAAATAAATATATTAAAATTGTTTAAAAATTATCATAAATTATTACAGTAAAAATCTAAATAAAACTGAGTCCAATTATTTACTGCTTATATTTATTGTTGTTATTGTTGCTGTTTTAAGTTTTGTTTATTAGAAACATTTACAAGCATATTTTAGAATTTTTTTCAGCGCATGTTATCAAGGAAAAGATTTTTTGTTGCCGACTTATGTTCTTTAAACTACCATGGTGATGATGACAAACAAATAACAACATAAAACTAAAAATATATAATAAAAACTTAATATTAATAAATCATACTTTTCTTGCTACTTTGTTGAGGATATAAAGCGTTGTTGTGTTGTGTAAAATCTGAATTGTTGTGTAAAGTAAAAGTTGTTGTGGTAGTTGGTGGTGTAGTGTAAATGTTGTTGTGGTAGTAGGTGGTGTAGTGTAAATGTTGTTGTGGTAGTAGATGGTGTAGAGTAAATGTTGTTGTGGCAGTAGGTGGTTTAATATAAATGTTGTTGCAATAGTAGCCCAGCAACAAAAAGTTCTATAGAATTTCTATAAATCTTTGGAATATTTGGCCTATAGAAATGCTATAGAATCTCTATAGAATTTCTACAGAATATCTATTAATTTTTATAGATTTTCCTATAAAACGTTTTTTTCTATAGAAAAAAAAAGGAGAAAAAATAAGAATTTCTAAAAGAATTAACAGAGATTCTATAAAAATTTTATAGAATTTCTATAGACCAAATGTGTTAAAACTTTATAGAAATTCTATAGAACTTTTTTCCCTGGAAGTGGCAAAGTGTAAAAGTTGTGTATTGATAGTTGTTGCGTAGTATAAATTTTTTATATATTCATATTTTTTCTAAAACTATTGGTGTTGCACAAAATGAGAGAGGTTTGGGTTTTCGGATTTTATGTAGTGCGGTTGTTTTATTGCAATAATAATATATTTGATGAAGGCTAGAGGCGATGATAGAAAGTACAACAACACGTTCCTGACGAGAGATGCTAATTTTTTTTTTCAAAGTAAAAAAAAAAAAAAAAAAAAAAAATATGTACACGCATACATTTTGTCTTGTTTGTGTACCTTGGGCCTCCTAGTACCTAGGGCAACCCCAAGTTATATGAAGACTATAAAGTTCTAAGTAATGCTTCTCAATCAGGAAATAGTTTAAAAAAATTTATTTTTTAATCCTATTTTGATTCTTAGAGGGCGTTGCAATGACAAGTTATAATCGGAAAATTCGTTATGATGGTCAAAGTAAATTTTTGTCCCTCGCATCTTATATCGTTTTAAAATCTTAGAGGAAATGTTTTTCTTTAAAATTTTGTATAATATATATTTTTTGTTACATAAGTACTTAATGCGATGTTCAATAAGTTTCCTCTCGATCCAAATTTGTTAATAGATGACGTTTTTCATGAGGCTATTAGAACTTTTACCTATGGCCATATAGTTTCCTTGTACCAAGAGGCATATGTGTGTTTCTCTGATAAAATATTTGTTTGATTAGGAGGTGCAGAGCGTATTTTTTTGCGGTTGTTTCGGAATTTATATTTTATGCGTAGGCATTATTTATTTAAGTTTTGCAATTAAGTAACACTAGATAAATTTGTTGCAAAAAATCTGAATGAACAAATTTTTAATCAAATTTATGTTACTATTTTTTTTTTTTCAATTTATTATGGAGTTAAACCTAATTTTTAGAAAGAGTTGAGCCGGAATTCTGTAGAAATTCTAAAGGTTCTTAATTTTCATCGTAAATTTTCTTTGTAGGCTGTTTTAATAAGTTTAGACTGATAAAACTGTTTTAATCAAACTGGTTTGGCAACCGAAACTGGATAACAATGTTATAAATATGGCTTTATATAAGTAGGTAAAACTTTAACTAAGTTAAAAAATTGTCAAGTTGAAAGCGTTTTAAAATTAAGTATACTTTGGAGTTAAGGTTATAAACCACAGTCAGTCTAAGATTTTTTGGTTCATAAGACCAACTTAAATTGTGATCACCCAGAATATAGTTTTATGTAGTTTTCTTTTATACTTTTGCGTAATAAAGTTTAATTTACCAATTCTAATGAAGTAATGTAATCAAGTTTTAATTGCGTAATGAATGATATCCAATGTGCAAAACACATACTGCTAACAACTTTTAGTTGCTATATTTATACTCTGAGTACGACCTTAATAAGAGAAACAGATAAATCTTGGCTATGATTCATGCCATGACACAAACGATATAACTTGGTATCAACCGTATAAAGTTTAAAGATCAATTAAGGCTGTTAGTTAGCGTTGTTAAATGATTAAAACATAGAAAAAATAATGTTGGTTTTAAAACACGATTGATACAGCTTGTAACAACTCCAATTGTTATAAACTGTATCAATCGAAACTGCTGAGATCAGTTAATATTTATAACAATTGACATGAATAGTTTAATTATAATAAAATAAAAATTTAATTGAAGACATTTATGTTTTTAGAAGACTCGGCCATATTTTTTTTTTAATTTTTTTTTAAAGTTATTCTATATTAGAGTTAATCTTATATTTGTAATAATACTCGAATCATTTACAGATTCTAAAAATAAGTACGTATAAAACGTTTATTAAGGAAACCGTGTTGATAAAAAGTTAATAAGCTATAATGAGTTCATATGCATTGAATATTTAAATAAAACTGAAAAAAACATAATTATAAATACTATATACCTATAGACCACCAACTGGTAATTTAAAAAGTTTAAAACTCATCTTAAAATATATCAAAACAAAATTACAATCTCTAAAAAACATATTTATTTGATAAGGGATTTTATCATCAACTACGTTTTAAATAGTAAATTTAAACAGATTCTTCTTCAAATAAGCCTTTCACTTTACTTGATCAATATTAAGAGCTTTCATAATAAACCTCTCATTACAACCTTTTTATTACAACCCGTGAGTATACCCTCGTTATTAACATGGGTATAACTCAGAGAGATTTATTATTTTTCCTACAAATTAAAAACTGAAATACAATTGAAAAAACATTCAATCTTAAAAAAATAAAAACCGTTTAAAATATCTAATTTTATATTGTTTGCACAATTGAATGTTAATCAATTTTGCAAAAAATATGAAATAGCATTTTGAGAAAAAAAAAAAAAAGAAAAAAAAATCATAAATACCAAGTCACTTCAAACTCGCTGAACGAACTCTCAAAGGCTTACACTAAAATCTACAATAAAGAAAAAAAAATTATATATAAAATATCTTTAAAAAAAAATTCTATAAAGAAAAATGACTTTAAAGTTTTAAAAAATATATTCAAAAAAACCAATAACACTTAAAGAAGCTTAATTATGCTCAGCTATTATAAAAGATACCCATTGGAAACAACTGAAGAACAAGACATTTACTTTGTTTGTAATGGCCCAAATTTGGCTGCTAAAGTTTCTAATAATTTGCGGACTAAAAAAAGTTGAAATTTACTAATATTTCAGCAAAATAATTCCAATATTTCTTTAACTTTTTTGAATTAATCAGCATGATATATAGGCTCGATGTCTAGCATTTGACTGTTAACACTTTCCCATAAATTATCAATGGAACTTAAGTCAGTTGATTAAGATGGTAACTTTAAAATACGAACTTTAATCTTCTTGAAGAAGTCTTGAACCGATTTGGCTATGCATTTAGAATTGTGATCCTGTTGTTATATCTATTCTCGAGGCCTGATTCAATATAATCCAAACATCTTAATATTGTTTTACTTATAAAATTTTTTTTTTACTATAGTTGACTACTCCACTTTAAATGCTGTGGTGCAAATTTTTCTCGGGCGTTTCAATTTTTTAAGAAAATCAATGGCTTTTTAGCTAGGCGTCTTTCAAATACGTTTTCATTATATGTTTCATCATCTTTTTTAGTAGAAATACTAGAATTTATTTCATAGAAACATCTTTTTATACATTTAAATCAACAACTGTTAAACAGAGATTTTTGTTGCTTAGTTTAAAGAGCTTTTTATCTAATAACAATTATGTTGTTTTGTTTTGACAATTTAATGTTTTAAGTAGTCTTCCTGATTCCTTTATATTCTTTGTAGATACAATCAATTGTATTTTATCACAAAAAATTTGTATATCATCTCAAAAGTTACGTATTTCATCTCAAAGATTTCACATTACACACATTTTTATATTACGTTTTGTATTACATCTCAAAGAAATTTTGTACTTCATCTTAAAAGTTAGTCTTTAGAGACTTCTGGAAAAGAGTGTCTATAATAACTGAGAATCTGCTATTTTACCTCTCTTGCATGGTTTCGATTTGGTACCTCACCTAAAGACAAAACTGAATGATTTGATAAGAACTTTTCATCAGTCTCATCTCTAGATTCCACAAATTACATCCTACATGATATAGCCGACAAACAGGTTGATCCAATTGCTTGACATTCCAATTACTCCAGCTTCTGTATCAAAAGCGATTTTCTGCTTAGACTCTTCTACAGCTTGTGGTCTGGAAAACATACATGTTATAGTTTTGCAGATGTGATCTCCGGAGCTGTTGTCTATACTTTCAAAACCATTTAAGAAGTGCTTATAGACTTGTTTTCCAGCCTGCTGGAAAGCGGCATCTGTTATCCCTATCTATAAAATTTATGTAGAGCAATCTGACTTGTCTAACTACCGTTCTATTAGTCTTCTTCCTATAATACGCAAGTTTTTTGAGTCTTTAATTAACAAACGCTTAATCTCTTATCTTGAATATAATAACTTACTTTCTGATCATCAATATGGACTTCAATCTTCTCTTTTTATTGCTAATATGTTAGCTGTAATAACCAATAAGTTTTATTGTGCATTAGATAGG